GCAATTTTTTTAATGATTTTCATGAATCAAACTGTGCGAACGATTAGAGATTTTCATGTCTAATCACGCTAGCCGATCCAGCCCTATCATCTCATCACATCAAAGGATCACAGAAGGCGAGGAACCCCGAAAAACATCTGCTAGCTGTCCGCATGCAGCATTCCAGACACAGACACATGTCTCCTGCTTTTATCTTTCACCTCCACATCACATAGTGTGAACCAAATATTGCTAAGCTCTCTGTGACAGCAATGAAGTGATGGAGATGTCGTCAGTGCTGTTATTTCTAAAGCTTTGACGCCCACATCCAGTTTCTAGGCTTATTTCTGAATAATGACCGGATGCCTAGGTCATTTCATCCTTATGTTTTTAGCATAAGGGGTTAACTGTAAGGCGCACAGGTGAAGAAGATTTTAGCATTTTTTTTGTATTCATCTTCCTGCTTCGTCATCTCTTCCCTTACTTGCCTTTCATCATTACGTCTCTTCTACATTTTTGATATTTTTCGTGTTTCAAAGCGTTCAACATTTTAATAAGTACTTTGGAGGTGTTTAACAGGTTCTTCAGGGGTAGCAGTGTAACATCAAAGCATTGCTCACATAGCTCCAAGACTATTCGTTTGACTCCAGAGACATCAGAAACCTTTCTGAGACAGAACAGTCCCACTGCTCCTGAAAGACAGCTCAAAGTGACCTTAATGCCAGTGTTTTTTTGTGTTGCGACTAGTCAGGTTGCGTGGCTCGTCTGTTTTGTTCCATTTCTTTCATTTGACATCAAATTGTTCCGAGTGTCTGCCAGAAGCATTGAATTGACTTCTGAGGAAAGCTTAATCTACGTAAATCTTTTGCTGCTTGTTTGTCAAGTGCTTGATCACACAGTTGGTGTTGAAGAGGGGCTTTGAGAGCTCTCGTGCTCTTTTGAGCAGACTTGGCACTCATCAGAGCACCACCCTCACCCCCACCCATGCGGATGTTTGAGTGTTCCATTCAACTCCAGTGTGCAAACAGGTGACGTTCTGACAGGTGATGACTTGGTCTTATTGTTGTGTTTAGCCTGTGCACCTGGGTTTATGTGGGCAGAGCGAGAGAGGCGTACTGTTCAGGCCAGCTGATGTTCCTGTGAGCCAAAGCCATACAGCTGCTCTGCTCTGTGTGTTCCTGTGTTTAGACGCACTCCTGACTCTCCAGTTAACACAGCAAATGTGATGTTACTGTATCGCTCCTCCCCGACCTTCACTGCACTTCCTATTGTTGTTTTAGCAACAGTTAGGTGTGGCGTTGGTAAGGCAACCCATCTCCCTTGAGGAGCAGCTGCCTAGTTGTATTATTTCTGTATAATATAATATATATATGCAGTATGTAAACAAGATTAGGAGTTATTTTAAAATATGTGTAAAATGGATCAACTTTATGATTGCAAACATCATTAATCAGATTTCGAATCCATTTTATTGCCAGATATGTTTGGTGGTGCAAACATGAACACAGCATAAGGAAATACTCTTAAGTTGTAAGAAAAGATCAAAAATATAACAATTATAAACAATAACATATATTCAAACAACTATTCAACATTAAAAATAATTAAGACAAATATGTAAACCAAATATAAATAATATAAATATACAAAATAACGACTAAAATGAATATAAGACAAACTGCAGTATATTATATTTGTGGAAAGGCCAGAGAGGTGGGATCAGGGGATAGGAGCTTCTTTCCCTTATACGTGTTTCTATATTTCCATTTGTATGATTAGTTTCTATATGGTTGTCATCTTGTGAAGATGGCTTGAAGAATTAACAAAATGTTGGTCACAAAAAAAAGTATAAAGCTGTCTCAATAAATACTCAGTCTTGTTTAATCTCATTATTGTTCAGTGGTTATACAGGCCACTTTCATAAAGTTTTAAACTCTTTCTCAAAATTACACCAACCCTTAATGTGTCTCCATAAATCATATCAGGATACAAAGCCAAGTTGTCCTCCATAGCTTAAACAAAAGAGAAAAAGGAAATGCCTGCCTGTTATCAATTGAGCCCCGGTGGTTGGCGGAGGATCACGTTCTGTCTTTGATAGCTCGGAGGATCTGGCAACCGTACTCCCCCGCTCCTCTGCTTCTCACTTTGGTCGCGCCTGTTTTCCATCCTCATCTGGTGGATAATTGTCCCTACAGTTACGGGTTTCTGTGCGTGTGTGTTTGCGTTCATAATTGATAGCAGCAGCCAGGCTCTCCATAACTTCCGGTTCCGTCCCCCAGCTGCCTCTGTGTCGATGAAGGTAGTTTAAACTGATGTATCATGGTGTGTCAGTGAGCTTTAAGAGCAGAACATTGGGTTACAAACAAACTGTTGTCTGTTTGCAAGGGCGTTGTGCATATTTCAACACAATGGAAACTACATTCAAACACTGGTATATTGTAAAATAGCACTGACACTCAATAATAAATATAATTTTATAATTTGTATTCATTTTAGTTTTAATTCAAATATACATACAAAGCAATATTTATATTTATTTTGGGCTGTTTGCAAACTGTGTAGTGTGTACTGTAGTATAAGCTTAAAACAACAATCACTCAATTTGATAGAAATATTTGTTTCTGTTAATATTTTTTTCAGGCCTTGTTGACATCATGGTGTAAATGTCATTATTCAATTATCATATCCGCTTTAATATTGTTGTTGCTGTAGTATTTTTATGACAATATGATGACACTATCATTGAGTAATGGCATTGTACATTTACACCAGTCAGAAGAGCCCTTTTGGAGATTCTTGAGCTTGATGCTATATGCTATAATCTCCAAATGCTTTGACCGCTAATTACACAGTCAAGTTAGCTCGAGTCATCACAGGTGAAGACGTGTCAATTAAAAAAATTTACCAAACCTTCAGACCTACCTGTAGCAGCGCACGTGCATGCACACAAAACACAAATGGCCTAATTGTTTGAGTGCCCTCACTGTTACACATGGCAACATCGGGCGGAAATAATGACACGGGCTGAGAGGGCCGCTGATGCGAACCAGATGAGGCACTCCGACTTAAAAGGCAAAGAGGGAGGAACGAAGGCAGAGCTGGACAAACTGTGAAACAACAGCGGCACACGCAGTGGGGGGGGACGGGACTGAGTGACATTCTTAAATCATCCATATAAACACGCAACGACTTCACTCAAACATAGCAGCACTTGTGTTTGAGATCATTTTGTCACTCTTCAAACTCTTTAATTGTTCTTTTATGTACCGTACGAGGGCCTTATATGCCTGTGGGGCCCAACACAAAGAGAACCCTTTCCTTGTGACTTGTGGGATGGTTATTGGAAACTAAATGGATCCTTTTTATGTGAGCGTTGCTGCAGGGAGCTTGGCCCTCGGCCGGCCCCGAGGCCTGCAGCTCCGCTCTGCTCTGGCCACAAAGTGCATTTCTCTCTCATGCGGCCCCTGACCTCTTGACGCATTTCCTGACCCAGGAAATAGAATTAACACCTCGGCCCGGGCCTCGGGGTCCCACAGCCGCGTACACAGCTGTCCGTTAGCTCGGCCCAGTCCAGTCAGAGTCCGGCTAGCTAGTGCTAACACTAAAACTGAGCCGGAAAAGGGAAGCAGGAGATTTGTTTTCGTGCATATCGGAAGAGTTTATACAATCCCTACCTCTTTAATGTCTTTGGGTGCTCGGAGGGTATTAGTGCCACTACAATATATAGACATGAACTGAAGCCAAACGAGGAGATGTGTATACCAACTGTTGTCATATTGCAAATACTAATTTATCTCTTCAAAATAGTACAAAATGTTAGCATGTCGTTACTGTGAAATGGTATCTGTACTTTGTCGACTTCTGGCAAGGAATCCGGAGGAAACCGACCCAAAAAAGAGCAACACGAAATGCAAAGACAGAGTAGGTTAGAAATATTTATCCCACTCTGCTCTGAGAGGTTCAGTGTCCCTCCGAAAACCACATCTAAAAGAGCACATTTAACTAAAGATGTTTGATCTTCCCGTTGCTGATCATATTTAGATCCTAACTCCAAGTCTCAGTCAACCTTAATGGTGCCGCCCTCTCTCTCTTTATAAATACCAATCTATACATAATGCAACGCCGTTCCACCAGAGGTTTTTTAATAATATTGTGGCTTTCCGATGTCACGAGCGCAGTAAATCTGGAAACTTGGTTTGAAGAAGAGAAAAGTGGATTATCTGTTTATTACATATTTTATGTGGGCCATATTTCCGCAGAGATGGTTCTTGATGCTCCGTGCTCTTAAAGTGCTTTATCTGTTTTCTTCATTAGTCAAAGGCTCTCTTATGCGGGCGAGCAAACACACGCTTGCACACACACACACTCGCACACACACAGATTAGCCAGTTCCTGCGTTTAAGCACCCCATGTGTTTGCATTTTAGTCACACATTGCCAATCTCATGGGAGCACTTTGAAGCATACTCCTCCAGAGCAGATCATAAAACAGGAGTATAAGTAGTTTTTCACATAGTTTTGTCCCAGTGCACCCCCCCAACCCACACCTCGGTCTCCACCTTCCACCTCCATCCGCTGACTCTCTACGTGTAGGGCGAGCCTCTGCTACACCCGGCTCCCCTCGCATTGTTTCTCTCCAGATGTTGGTTAGAACTCGCAGAGGCAGCCGCGGCGGAAGTCCTGTGATCGTTATCAGTTTTCCAAGTTGATTTACATTTCTGTGGACGTTAACACAACCGACACCGGAAAGAAATGCATCATTTATCACAGTGGCTGTTTCTTTCTATTCACACCTTGTTCTTTGTTTGCATCTGCAGAATGATCGCACTCTAAATCTTTGCTGTATTGTTACTCAGCTCAAAGGAAGGCAGAATGTAGGCAACAGAAATGCAGTTTAACATCCAAAGTGATGCATTTCCACTGCCGCCTGAAGTAGTTCATATATACTGTGTGTCCATGAAGGAAGATCAGTGTCTTTGTGTGGGATCCTGAATCAACCCACGTGTATTTCTGTCTCCGCAGTACTTTGAAGTGCCCTTCGACTCCAACATGAATCGTACCAAGAACCGTCCACTCGTCAGAGGACAAATCAGGTACAGTTTTAAAAGATCTAGCCTTCTGTGTGCAACATTTAGCAAAACAACCCCATCTGCACTTTTGATTACTTTGAGAGAGTGACTCAAGTGGAGGAGGAGAGTATGAGTTCAGTACAGAGGCAACACTGCATGACAGCTACTAAGCCCCCAACCTCATCTCTTTCTTTTATTAATACAAGGCTGCTACTGTTCCCTCCCTCTCTGACCTTATCTTTCTCTAAGCTTGTAATTTACCGGCTGTATTTTACTGACCACACCTTTTATGGAAAACAGTCGCACTGAGCACACATCCGTATTGTTTTACTCCCTTGTGTTTCTCTTTAGCTGAGTTATCATGGAGCTAAATCAGACGAGTAGCTGTGTATGTAGAGTAGCAGCAGCCACAGGGCGTAGCTGCCAATTCCAACCCTCTGCTGTACTCCTGTCAGGTGTAATGCGAGCTTATGATCAGGTTGGGAAGGAGGGGGGTAGAGGCGGAGGTTAGGGTGTTGTTACACGACACCTTAACTTTTGCTTCCTCCGTAGTTCAGATGTCTGATAATCTTTGTGTTCAGTGAACTGTATCACTGCGCTCTACTACTGTATGACTGGATATGGCGTCTGTCCTTTCTCTTCCGGAGGCTTCCACCCTCAAGCAGCAGGAATGCACTGATGCAGAAAACCAAAAGAAAACACAAACCAACATCATGTCCTCCTCACCTATTGTCAGTGCCAGCAAACGGACTTTATCGCATTGAACTCTTACAGGAAAGGAGCGTTATCTCATTTGTATTCAGGAAGAAAGAAAGCAAACAACCTGTTGACACAAGAGGATACAAATATAACTGATCTGATCTGGAACATATTAGTATGGTTCTGAATGATGAAACTGAAGAAGACACTACAGGAAAAATAAAGCTAACCCTTGATATGTACACTATTAATACATTTTAAATCATTGACAAGGCTTTTGAATTTCCTATTGGTTTATTTAATTTATTTGTATTATTATTGTAATTATAATGTATTATTTAAAGTTAATTTATTAATGTTTATTATGCAACTGTGTATTTACATATTTGTAGACATATTTCTAATATAAAATTAAATACATTATTGTATTATTAAGATATTTACGTGAGACCAGGAGTGTAGGTATTTTGATTGTTGTATGACATTTACCTATGTAGTGAAAAACTACATTTATCAACAAAAGACAATGAAATACTTTCCATAACAGTCCTGTCCACATGTAGCTAACAAGTAGAAGCTAACGAGTAGAAGCTAACGAGTAGAAGCTAAAAGCCTCCGTTGTGTGCTGATGCAGCATCATAGTCCCGCTGTGACTGAAACGGCCTGTTGGTACTATAACTGCACCCTGACCCTCAGCTATCTCATCCCAGTTCCAGGAATTCTCCTTTGACATGCTGTTTAAAATCGGACCCTCATGCTGTTGAGCTGCTGATTGAAGATGCTCTCTCACTATCTAAACACGTCCTCTCCCCTGGCTTTTAGCCTGTCGCTGACCAGAGGAGGTGTGTCTCTGAGACGCAAACACTGAGACAGAACATACAATCTGGTGTAGAGACGGCGGGCATATATGAGGCCGGAGTGTCCTGTCAAACAACACATTTTCTATATTGTCTTCAAGGCGTCCCTGCTCTACATCTGTCCGACTGCGGAAATCTGTCTGCCAATGTGATGTGAGCATCGGAAATACTTTGTCCACTCATGTCTAGACTACAATAGTGTCTCATCTTACCCACCTTTTACTGTTCTTCGGTAGAATGCGCATGACAGTCTCCCAGCCTTTGTAGTGGCTTCACAGAGTTTGAGGCATCCACATGTGTTGATGCTGAAGAGCTGTCAGCCTGCTAGGAGGAGGAAGACAGAAGATGAGTTTTAGTTTCATCTAGGTGGTTACACACATGGCAGCTTTTGAGCCTGAAGAGAGTTTTGATTTGGGCTGTTCTGCACCAGAAAATGGAGTTTGCTTTGTTAAGAAAACTTTGACAACCACTTTGTATGAAGTACAAGACATAACGTAACCCAAAAACATGTTTGATTCTTTCATGGGACGGCATTGGGGCCGTTAGGATAATGAAGCAAGAAAGTTATTATATTTTCTTCGCTGCTATATGTACAGCGTGTTGATTGTTGTTTCCTTTTTATGCTGCATCAGAATTGTCCTCTCGTGGACAATAAAGCTTATTGAATTAAATTAAATGTATTTTCAGAGTGGAGTTGACGGTGGAAAATGGATAGTAACTGTTAAAGACATATTCTGCACATATTCTCTTTGTTTTTGTTTTTTGTGCCTCTACTGTAACATGCTTTAAAGTTCAAAAAGCTCTTTATTTTTCCTGCCTGTGCTGCTGCACCTCTTTTGATTGGTCAACCACTTAGTGATATCCTGCTCCCTAGCCCTAATCACGTTCAATGTGTTGGAGCGCTAGCCAATATAATTGTGAGTGTTATACTGATGTGACAGGGATGTCACTATGTTAGGGAAGTAAACAAAGGAGTCCATTAGAGGCATTTCAGGCAGGGGGTGAGTGTGTGAGAGAAACTCCCCCGGGGGGGGAATGGTGTGATTTTAGCCTTTGCCGACCATTTACATGGACAAAAACCTTCATTTCACAATACAGGAAAGGGAGACGCCCACAAAGCATAATAGGGCCTCTTTAATGTAAAGGCCCTGATACACCGGCCCGAAATCGGCAGTAAATGGGAGTCGGGCCGAACATGAGCGTGGGCACGCCCTATTTGGAGTGGTGTGCGTCGGATCTTTTCTGCCGACCTGACGCCTTTTCTTGATGATTCAACATGTTGAATCGGCGTCGGGAACACCACCGGAAGTCGGACAAAGGGATAACAATGATTGGCTGTTCAGCTAGCGAATCAGTGCATGAGAAGCATTAACGGAAATGAGGGAGGTAAACAAATGATTTAAAATGGAAGATGGAACACACACGGACGGCTATTTCAACTCATCGGTTTATAGAGCTCCTGTTCGTTCATGTTTTCAATGGACGAGAGTGAAAATGGAAAGAAAAACGCTATTTGTTGTTTGTTTATATCACAGCCTGTTCTTCTTCTCTGTCTTCCGGTTTTTCCGTTTGTTGCCTCTTTTGAATGATGAATACACACTACCGCCGCCTGCTGGTAAGGAGAGTTATTGCCACTCACGCATACGCAGTTCATACGTGCTCGGCTCGGATTTGCGGTGTGTTCCAGTGCGCGAAGTCGGCAAATAC